TATAACATAAATCTGATTTTATGACTTCTGTTCTTAACAGAATTCCATGGTCTGCCATAACAAGTTCATAGTACCTATCTGGCTCCACCAGGCCTGAAACAATCTAAATTGAACCGCCCTTTTCAACTTTGTTTCCTGATATAATTCTCTTCTAATGTTACATAAAACGACTCACTGTTTTCTGAACCTCTATAACCATGCACACATTAGTCCTCCTTCTTGGAATGTCATTTCCCCACTTCCCCACTCAGAAAATTCCTATGAATATTTCAAGTCAGAATCCAATTTCTTTGTGAACTTCTCCTTACTTTCTCTGAAAGAATTTTCCTCTCTCTCTTCTGGGCTCGTAGAGCACTTAATACTTATTTTGGTGATGGTACAGAGCACATTGCGTGGTGACCTCTAGCTTGAGTCTCTCCCTATAAATTGTACCTTGTTTAGAGACAGTCACTATGGCTTATTCCTCTACCTCTTTGATTCAGTGCCTACCAGTTTGTCTGTACACATATTTTTGTTCAATAAATAAATGGAAAAGATACCCCATCATTCATAATTTAATTATGCAGTCAAAAGTGGGAGTTTTAACTGCCTCCCTATGCCATATTCCATTCTTTCTATTTACAATGTTAGTAAACAATAGCCTCATTATAAATTAAATGTACAATAAAGAATACAATGGTTTGGAGAAAAAAAATATTTTGGAAATATTTTTCCAAGGAACCTAATTTTGGAAGCTAAGGCACTGTCTGTTAAATATTGCTTTTCTTCTTGCAAAACAATAATTTTACATCATGTGGGATGGCAAGTTCTCGTACCTTGTCAAATTTTTTATTTAAGCTTCTGATATAATCCTCTGATGCCAATTCAAAGTTGCTATTTTTAAATGAATACTTTCCTTGAACTGACTTTTAATTCCTTGGGTATTTTTTGCTTGTTATTAGCAGTTGAATAGTTGTGCCTGTGCATCAGGGTTCAGGAAAATAGCTACCATCTGCCAAGAACCACAGACCTTAGCCCTTGGTCTCTGTTTTCCTGACAGCACCGCCTTCTCTAATGGAAGTTATCAGTACCCAGGGAGCTCTCTGCTGGGACTCAGTAGTAGAAATATTAACACCGTATGGCCCATCCTAGGTAAATTAAATTTCATCATGTCTCTTGCTAAAAATAAACTAAAAGTAGATGGTGAACCTTTGGACAGATTAAGTAAATAGCAATATTAAAAACTCTCCAAACTGGAAATGGAGCACACCAGTCCTCAAGAGGTTAAACCATTTAAAAAATAGATTGCTCAAAGGAGGAAAAATATAGATCTCTCAAGAACTCACTCTGACAACTCACTTAATAAGCACATACTGTTTGTTCTCAGAAAAGTCAGCTTTTTAATTTAGAGGAGTTGAAAGGTTCATTTCTGGAAACAGCTTGTCCTCAAGCTTTTTAATAGTTCAGTAAAACTGAGAGTGGGAGTGGGAGGATGAGTACAATGGAAATACTCCAACCTTTTCATTGACCTTACTTGGTGCATGATAAGAAACTTTCCAGGGTGTAAATAAATCAGGATTCTACTAAGTTCCCTGAATGAAGTTTAATAAACACCCTCTACTTTAAAATCAGTCCCCATAACCTCTAAAAATCTGATTATTCAGGAAAAAAGAAACTACACAGTGAAGTAGAAACATCCACGCATGACCGAGATAGCTAAGTGCTCCTACTTACAATTTTAAAAAACTGTTTAGGATAGCCAAGATATTTCATATGTAAATAGCCTAGCATGTTTATGCAGGAAGGCTTTAAGCAGAATGGTTCAGATTATAAGCTCTCATGAATGCCTGGATTTGACTCCCAGGTTTTCAACGTACAGGGCACTTAGGGCAACGTAACCTGTATAGGCCTCAGTTTCCTCATATGTAAAATGGGAATAATAATAGTATTTCCATCATAGGGTTATTATGGATGTTAATATGAGATAGTACTAAGGGGCACTAAGTAAAAATTTTATCTGGACATGTAAAACATTGAACGAGCCAAATAGATTTTGAAGATCTGTTTAGATAAAGAAGACTCACGAAGCATAATTCTGCTTAGTTATCAGGGATCAGAGAATATTGACGTTCATCCAGCTAATCCTCTTATTTTATAAGTGAGTAAACAGAGCAGTATTACAATCTTCATTCTATTAAAGATTTTTCTAAAAAATATTCCATGAACTTTAAACTTTAGAAAGTTATCTTGTTAGAAAATTATTCTTTAAAGATATTATAGAGATTCATAGATATTACCTTTACAATTATTTTCTCAAAAATTTTAAACACCTTTACCGAGATATTATTGAAATACCTTACAATCCACCCCATTTAAAGTGCACAATTCAATGTTTTTAGCACGTTTCCAGATTTGTGCAACAGTTATATCAATTATAACCACAAAAGGAAACCTCAAACATGTTAGCAGTCATTCTCCATTTTCTCCCAACTTGCCCTAGCTCTGAGTTACTGCTAATTTACTTTATGTCTCTACAGCTTTGCCTATTCTGCACATTTCATACAAATGGAATCATACCATATGTGGTCTTCTGTAATTGGCTTCTTCCACTTAGCATAATGCTGTCAAGGTTCATCCAGGTTGTAGCATATATCACTATTCATTCCTTTTTATTGTCAAATAATATTAATCTTGTATTGGTAGATCACATTTTGCATATCTATAGATTAGTTGGTGGATATTTGGATTGTTTCTACTTTTTGGATATTGTGAATAATGCTGTTATAAATATGTGTGCATGAGTTTTTGAGTGGGCATATTTTAAAATTTATCTTGGGTATATACTTAATAGTAAGATTGTTGGATCATATAGTAACTCTGGATTTAACACTTAAGAAACTGCCACACTGTTTTCCAATCAGCTACATGATTTTGCATTCCCACCAGAGATAAATGAGGTTTCCATTGTCTCTATATCCTCAACAACACTTTATTTTTTGTCCTTTTTGTATTTTTTGATTATAGCCAGTCCTAGTGAGTATGCTATCTTAGGTGTTAGGTGATTTTCATTTTTATTTCCTTAATGGTTAATGATATTGAGCATATTTTCATGTAAATGTTGGGCATTTGTGTATTTTCTTTGGAGAAATGCCCATTCAGATCCTTTGCCCATTTTACAATTGGGTTATTTATCTTTCTGCTTTTGAGTTTTAAGAGTCTTTATATGTTTTGAATAAAATTTCCTTGTCAGATGTTTATTTTCTCTTATTCTGTCAGTTGTAACTGTCACATTTTGAATGAACTCTCTATTAGTTAATCAGTTCAAGAATGACAAAATAATAATTGTGCTAATAGCCCAAGTCTAACTTCAGCAAAACCAGCTAGAGTTTAGCATAATAATTTTACAGATTTTAGCTGTTCTGACATCTAAACCAGAAAAAGGGGTTAGGATTATGTTGGAAATGAGACCTTTTTTCCAAAAGGATATTTAAACACTAGCATGATGAATTATGAATATCCCAATGAAACCAATCCATTGTTAATTACCATATAATTATTTTATTAACTAATGTAACTGTACAAAGTCATGTAGGAGATGAATAGTAATGATAGTGTCCTCAAATTGCTTATAATTTAAATGTTAAACTACTGTACAAATAATAATAATGTATCTAAAAAGTGATTGGTTCAATACTGAGGAATTAATATGTCCTAGGTAATACTAAGCCTTCAGGAAACAGAAACATTGAGATGATCTGTTTTGCCTTGAGTGGCTCTGAGTCAGATGTGAGTGAAAATATACACATTTTACATGTTGCATATAAAGACGTTACCATAAAATGCAATGTATAAAGTAATAGAGCACTGTACTAGTCCAGGAGTGATCAATTCTACACGGCAAGGTCAGAGAAGACCTCACACAAGAAACTTTATAAAAGAAAAAAGTTGCAAGCACAATAATAGAAACAAATATATACATGTATATTCCATTATATATATATATATATTCCATTATATATACAAAGAAAGAGGTAGGCATCTGAGCACATATCAGTTAATGGGAGAAGCCATAAAACTAATAAAATCTTCAAAGTGAGGAGCATAAAGATAGGATGTAAATTTCGAGATTCAGTGACTGAGAAGCTCGAAAAACCCACTCTCCCCTTGACCCACCCCAGAAGTTTTCTGAAGGACACAAATTAGTAAATAAATCGTTCAAAGTCAATTTAGGTCACATGAAGAAAGTTCTTCATGTAACTAACTCCCTTTCCCACCTTTCTCCTCCTCTCGGGTTCTTGAGAATAGATTCAGAATAGAGCTGGGTTTCACAATTTTTTGCCTGGCTCAAGAGATTGCAGACTTTCTTCATGGCATCAGTGAGCTGATGCTATCAGGACAGACTTAAAATATCTTTTCTTGGCTTTGAATATAAAAGGGAAGCCAAGGAAGACTTGTTTCTTCTGGACCAGAGCCAGCTACCACAGTTATTCCTACAAGCTTCTCTTTAACAAGAAGACATCATTAGCCCTTTCCTGGTGCTCCATGCATTTGATTCTGAGTGAAGATCTCAAGGACATGCAAGGAATTTTTTTTTTCTTTTATTCCTGTCATCGTCATTATCATATTAATTGTACACCTACTTTACACAGGGCATTTTGCTAAACTTTGCATATTTTAATAGTACAAAAAATGATCCTAATTTTTAAAGACGCTTTTAGTCTGAGAGAAGTAGGGATTTTTATTTTTCCCTGTTTAATTAAATTATTTCTGTAAGAACTAGACTCCTCATTTAAGAAACTTCTACCATTTATTATACCACAAGCTGAGGGCAGAAGACATGATTATAACTTAGATTTGTTTAAAATTTATATTCATAGCTTACATTTATCTAAAATTAATATCCATAACTATCAAAATTGAGAACAAACAGAATAGCTATTGAATTAATTATACGGTTCTATATTTCTCTTCAAGCAAGTTCTTCTCAGTCAGTAATATCATGCTTGTTATGCAATTCCTACCTGGAAGTCAAAAGCCCAAGAGCCTCTAAAGGTTGAGAAAATGTCCATCTTCTCAAAATGGTATGCATTTCTGAAACAGTCCTTTCATCCCATCCAGGGGCACTACCCAGGACTAGAGGAAGGGAGCAGTTTTCATTATTGCAGTAGAAGCGATAAAACCACAAGTATCTTTTCTTTTCTTCAGAGAGTCTGAAAAACCAGATTGGAAACAGTAATTTAGTGGAGTTTGCTGCACTAACAAATGTTGCTATAAATATGCAGTACCAAACCTTACTGTACTTCTTTGAATTTTATTTTAGCTTACTTTTAAAAATGTCTTTTACCTTCCTGGGATAGCTTCATAGGTTATTTCATCAGTTTATTTTCCACTAACTTTATTCTTTTGTATTATTATTTTGAAAAAGAAAAAATCAATTCAGATAGCTCACATTTATTTTTGTTCAGTCTTATTCGTGGTTTTTTTTTTTAATATGCCATTTTGGTTGGCAAAATCTCTCTCCCCTAGGGAAAACCAAGTTTATCTGAATCCTGTGACACATCCTATTTGGAACAAAGGTAATCAACCATTTACTTTCTTATTTTTTTTTTATTTTTTATTTTTTACAAATTAACTGAGATCCAAGTGGGCCTATGAAAAAAATGGCATATTTTAGTAATGATATTTCTTCATCTCAAAGCAAGTTTTATCAGAGTTCAGAAATCTTTTCTGTTGTTAACTTCAAAACCAAGGATCTCAATTCATCCCTGGATTATGTCTTTAAATGTTCAGAGTTCATGGGAAGTTTGGCGTGAAAATGTCAGTGATGCTAGTTTCTTAGATGCTCAAGTATTTCCCCCTGGAGAGTAGTCTGAAATAAAAGATCTAAATCTAGGACTAGGGCCTTGACTTGCTGACAATTTATCATGTTTTGCTCACACTCCAGTAGAAGTATTCAGAACCACGGTTCAATTGGAGGACAGCTTCCCTCGCATGACAATGGCTTTTGAGCACTCTCTCTTCCAAACTGACACTGAGCTTGAATCTGCTGAAATTCCCAAGAAAGCTAACGAAACATAAAAAAATCTTTTAAAAGTCTATGTCTCTCTATAATTCATGTTAAAGTTTTCCTCATCTGTAAAAAGAAAAGATTGGATTATAGGTGATTTTGAAGGTGCGTTTAGGTTCCTTTCCTTATATTTTGCTACCACCTTTTCCTCGGAAAAAGCCACAGAAGAAAAAATATTCATAGTAAAATTACTAAAACATATTTGCTCAGATTAAATTTTTTTCCCAATACCGAACAATGCTTTCTTTCTTTTTTTTTAGCTCCTTTTGTTAAAGCAAATTCACATTCAAGGACATGCCACAGATTCAGTTCAATAAATTATTACAAATGCATATACCAGATAACAACCACACTCCTTTCAAGATATAAAACAGTTTTTTTCATGTCATCAGAGGCAAGCACTGGTATCATTTCTTTCTCTCTCGATAAATATTAACCTTTTAGAACTTCATATAAATGGAATCACAGAGTAAATATGTTTTTATTTATGGCTTCTTTCACTCCATTATATAATGTTTTTGAAATCATCCATATTGGTTGAGTTTGTCAATAGTTAATTCCTTTTAATTAATGAATATTATTCCTTTGTGTAATTGTGCCATTATTTATTTATTCACTCTCCTGTTTGATGGACATTTGGGTTGCTTCCTTTTGGGAGGTATTATGAATAAAAGTGCTATGATCATTTGTGTACAAGTTTTTATATGAATGTATTTTTCATTTCTCCTAGGAAATATCTATGAGAGGAAGGACATGGTTATGTGTTAGGTATTTATCTTTACAAAAAATTGTGAAACTGTTTTCCGAAGTAATTTTAAAGTTTTACATTATTGCTTGCAGAGTATGATAGTTCCATTTGTACCATATTCTTGCCAACTCTTGATTTTGTCTGTCTTTATAATGTTATCCATTCTAATGGGTGTATAGTGGTATCTCATTGTGCTTCTAATTTATATTTACTTGGGGTCTAGGCAATTTTTCATATGCTATTTTCTTATATCTTTTGTTGGAGCTCTCTTCTTATGTCTTTTCCCTACTTGTTTGTTTAGATTCATTTGCATGATTTCTTTATATACTCTGGATACAAAAAGTTTGTCATATAAATGTTTGCACATATTTTTCTCAGAATGTGGTTTGCCTATAGATTTCCTTAACGGGGGCTTTTCATGAATAGTTTTACATTTTGATGATGTCCAATTCAGAAATTTTTAAACAGTTATTACTTTCTCTATTTGTTTAACATTGGCTATCTTAACATTCATTCTTGTGGCTTTTTTCTCAAGTATTCTGAAAGCAATATTTTACTTGCTGAAAGGACTTTTTTCATTTATGGCGTGGGTGGCATTGTCAAAAATACATTGAACCTACAAATGGGTCTCTGGCTTTCTATTCTATCTACACCGAATTCTATTCCATTGACCTATTTACCTATCCTTAAGCTATATCACACTAGTTTAATTGCCGTAAATTTATAGTACATAAATCTACACACATTATGAAGTCCGACTTTGTTCTTCTTCCATGATTGCTTTGACTATTGTAGGTTTTTTGCATTCCACATAAATACTGAAGTCAACTTTTCAATTTCTACAAAAACTTGCTGAGATTTTCATTGGGATTAAATTTTATTTACAGATGAGTTTAGAGAGAATTAACATCTTAACCATAGGAATCTTTCAATCAATAAATGCAGTATATTTTTCATTTATTTAGATTTTCCTTAATTTTCCTTAGCAAAGTTTTACACTTTTCAGTAAATAAAATTTTATTAAATAATTTACTAAATTTTAGTAAAAGATTAGTAAAATTTTAGTAAATAAAATTTTGATGTAGTAAATACAATTCCAAAACAGAATTTATTTTATATATATTTTTACTGGAACACAATTAGATCTTGTACATTTATCTTAAGCATTATGACCATTACATAATCACGCTGTGTGAAAATAGTCAGTTTTATTTCTTTCTTTTCAATTTTTACCTTATTTTTTTTTTTTTCACATAGTGTGCTGGCTGGGATTTCCCATACAAGATTAAAGATAAATGTTTGAAGCAGACATCGTGGCTTTGTTTCCAACCTTAGGAGAAAGGATTCATTCTTACATGATTTAACGTGATACTAACTATAAACTTTTCATAGATCACTTTTCAAGGTTGAGAAAGTTTCACTCTATTTCTAGTTTTAACATGAATGGGTATTGAACTTTATCACTTTTTTTCTAGATCTAGCAAGGTGATATGATTTTCCTGGTAAATATTCTCATTCTTTTACTTTTAATCTAATTGCTTATATATAAAACATGTTCCTGTAAACAGAATACAGTTATATATTGCTTTTTTGATGTAGGCTGACAACTTCTGCTTTTTAATTTGAGTTCTTAGTGTGTTTATATTTCATTTCATGTTGATATGGTCACCTAATCATACCAATGGCTCACTGTATTGCTATTTGTTTCTGTGAAGTGTTTTTTTTTCTTTGAAGTGTTTTTCTGTGAAGTGAAATGTTTTTCTGTCCAAACCATTTCTTAGTCCCCTTTTTTTCCTTTTTATGTTTCCTTTTAGATTTTTTTCTGTTATATTTCATTTTTATCTTCTCCTTGGCTTTTAAATATACTCTTAAAATTTAAGGGGTGTGGCTTTCCTAGATATTAAAATATCTTTGTTTAAGCATATTACAGCCAATCATGAATTAACATTATGCATCCTTACATATAATATAAAAAACTTGGAACAGTTTACTTCCATTTTCCATTTTCATTCTTATTGAAGTTATTATAAATTTTATTTTTTATATATTATAAACCCAGAGTACATTGTGATTCATTTTTCTTTAATCACTTTTAAAATAAATTAATAAATGTGTAAATGAAACTATTTTTATTTATTTATCTATTTTGGGGTATTTTCCATTTCTTCTTACAGATTTGAGTTTCCATCTAGTATCATTTTCTTCCAGCTTGAAGTACTTATTTTATTATTTTGTATAGTATGGATGAACTGATAATAAACTAACTCAGCTTCATTTGGTTGAAAATATCTTCATTTGGCCTTAATTTTAAGAAATACAATTTTACTGTATATAGAGTTCTAATTTGAAAAAGTTGTTTTCATCTTTAACACACAAAGATAGTATTCTACTGCCTTTTGTTTATTTGTTTTTTTTTTATGAGAAGCCTGTATTTAGTGTTTTATATAGAATATTACAATATTAATATTATAGTTGTTTCTCTATATGGAATTTGTTTATTTTCTCTGATGTTTCTAAATTTTTATATTTATCTTATTTTTCATTTATTTCTCTATAATGTTTCTAGGGGGTGTGTGAGAGAGAGAGAGAGAAAGAAAGAAAAGAAAGAGAGAGAGAAAAAATGAAAGAAAGAAAAAAAGAAAGAAAGAAAGAAAAGAAAGGGAAAGGAAATCAAGAAAAAAGAAATTTCAGCAATTTCTCTATAATGTATCTAGGGTATGTGTGAGAGAGAGAGAGAGAAAGAAGGAAAGAAAGAAAAGAAAGAAAGAAAGAAAGAAAGAGAAAGAAAGAAAGAAAGAAAAAGAAAGAAAGAAAGGAAGGAAGGAAGGAAGGAAGGAAGGAGGGAAAGAAGGAAGGGAGGAGGGAAAGAAAGAAAGAAAGAAAAAAAGAAAGAAAGGAAGAGAAAAAGGAAGGAAGGAAGAGAGAGAGTATGTATTCGCTTATGGGTTACTAAGACTTTTACTTCTTATATTTGTAGGTTAATTTTTACAAAAAAAAATCAAATTTGTAAAATTTGGCCATCTCCTTAATTATTTTTTGCCTCAGTATCTTTCTCCTTTTTGGTGTGTCCAATGCACACATATTGTTTAATATTGTCCCTCAGGTCACAAGGTGCTCTCATTATTTTCAAGGTTTATTTTCTTTTTGTACCTCAACATGGGGGATAATTCCTATTGCCCTGTCTTCAAGCTCACTGTTCTTTTTTTCTTGCATTTTGCAATCTATTAAGCCCATTTACTGATTTTTTTAAACAAATATTTTAGGTATTGTGTTTTCAGTTCTTAAATTTCCATTTTTTAGTAAGATTCATTTTTTCATTCATATACATCTTTTAAAAAATCATTAAATATCTTTATAATAGCTGTATTGAAATCATTATTTGCTAATTTAAAACTCTTCGGATCTGTTTCTATTAACCACTTCCTCTCCCCAGGCTGTTTTTATATTTTCCTGATTCTTTCCAATTATTTCCCTAGTTACTGATTGTATACTAGACATTTTCCAATAGTTTTCTCAATTATTGATCATATGCTAGACATTTAGAATAGTACATTATTCAGAGTCAGCATTCTGCTATTTTTCAGGTGTTGAATCTCATGTTTTTTAGTAGACAGTTCAATTACTGGAAGATCAGCTTAATTTTTTTGAGACTGGTTTTTATTATTTGTTAGGTTGAGCCTACTTTAGTCTTTAATCTAGGGCTGGAATGGACTTAATCCTAATATGCATCATTTTGGTTTCTTTATTAAATGTAAAGGATGGTCTGTGAGCTTTCTCCATTCTTATTAGTCAGAATTTCTATGTCTTCCAGCATTGTGTGGCTTCTCAAATCACATTTATTTTATATCTCCCTGAAGTAGTTCTCTTGTAAGCCCTGGAAAGTTTCCACCTGCTCACGAGTAGTTTAGCACTCAACTAAATATTTAAGAAGACCCCAATACCGATTTGTGTAGCTCTCGTCCTGTGGTATGATGCTCTGAAGATGCCAGCTGCCTCAGCATCACTGAACTCTAAATTCTGCCTTTTAAAAAATATCTCAGCAGGGGCTGCATTCTCTTCTTATATTCTACCTTCCCAAGTCATGTGGGAGGACCCAGGTATAGAAAGTGACTCCAGGCCGAAAGCCACTTTAATCCCAAGGCTTACCTCAAATCCTCTCTGTTTAATTTATGAAAACAGTTGCTTTGTATTTGTCTCTCATCATAGTTCTGTCAGTCAGGGGGATTGGTCTTGCACTAGGTATTCTTCACGGTAGAAGTAGAAGCACTAATCTATTTTAGAACATATACGGTTACGTATTTCATTCTGGGGTCTTTAGATTTGGAAGCATTTTTTGGTTGACATCAAGAAGATTTTTTTTTTTCAATTTTTATTTTTTACAAATATCACAGGCATATTTTCATGAGTTCCATTGAGTCTGAACTTCCTCACTGTGATTACTTTTGGTCAGTTTTAAAGAAGGAATAATTAAGTCAACTAAATGATAAAATGTGGCATTGGGAAACAGAGGTTAATCTGATTCTAACACAAGTTTCACCACATTGAAGGCTGTTCTCCATCTGTTTTCACAGTCCAGAATAAAACTGCACTATGCTGAATATTAATAATTGTATTTGAGTGGGTGAAACAGAGGAAAATGTTGCTTGTTTTATGAGTGTTATTAGCTTAAATAGAAACTGAAATATAAAACAATTAGAATTCACTGGGGTTAATTTAAAAACACAAACCTCTGATATTTAAAGGCAGTTACCATGATTATTATTTGTTGGTTTTGACCTCTTTTTGTTTGAATATATTTAAAATTTCAAGGCATCTTTTTCATATTAAAAACCTAAGTATAAATATGCTAGCCTCTTATTTGCGGCACACTTGTTGAACACACAGTTTTACATTTTCAAGTAAGACAGAAAAAGAAGCTTCATCTAGTTAAGATGACAGTAGTCTAGTATGACAATGGATTGTCAACATATGTGTCATGAAGACTATGAGAATCTTCTGTCATCTTCAGTTCTTAAGGCAACTTTTTATACCAGAAACTATGCAAAGTCAATTCAGTCCTTATAATCTACTTATTTCACACACATTGTTATCAGTGTATAGCATTAGAAATATAGTGATAAACAAGAAAGATGGGTTCTTTGCTTTTTCCAGCTCTTGCAAATCATTGAGAGGAAGAAGAGCTAAACACATGAGTGAGCAGGATAGTAGCTAGTGTTAAGTGTGATAACATAAAAGGTAATGTGATAGAGAGTGAGGGAAACAGGGCTTCATCACATAGAGTGGTCAGAGAAGGACTTTTTGAGGTGACACTTAAGTGAAAGCCTAAAGGATGATATAATTTAGTAATGTGAAGAACTTAGGAAACAGTTTTTCAGGCAGAGGGAATATCAAATAAAAAGGCCTTGAGACGAGAGCAGGACCCGCACATTTGAAGTTTAAAAAGGGGTTTGATGTTCCTGGCTTGAAGTGAAAGAGAAAAACAGTAATAAACATTGAAATGAGAGAGTAGGAAAGTAGCAAGATTACTCGAAAAAAAACTGATCACACTCATTGCCCTAGTATGGGATAGCCCAAGCTGATTCCTCCTCCCGAAAATGACTCTACCATCTGCCAAGTTGATCAACTCAAAATTTTGGACTCTCTATTGGCTTAACCTTGACTCTTTAATTTCTTAATGGACTTACTACAAAATTCTAATTAATCATCAAGTTATGTCTTCTCAACTGCCAAAATATGTCTCTCAAATCTAGCCACCTCTATTAATATCCACTGCTATCATCTTAGTTCTAGCCATCATGATCTCTTGCCTAAACTGTTACATTCACCTCCTTGCTGTGCTGCTTGCTTCTACTGTCACATCCACTCCAATCCATTCTGCAACTTGTGGTCAAAGGGATCATTCAAGATTCTTCTGCTCACGTAATTCCCTTGTTCAAAACCTTCACATTAATTTTCACTCTTGGAGTAAAGTCTGTTATCATGTTATATATCTTTTCTCTCTCACACACACATACAGAGAGAGAGAGAGAGAGAGAGAGACAGACAGACAGACTTTTTTAGTCTGATGCCTTTGGCATGTTATTAATGAGCATAATCAGCTGTGACATGCATTTTGCCCCTAACAAGTACAAATGCCACTAATTCCCTAATAGTTCTTCTCGGGATTTTGGTTCTATTCAAAGAATTATCGTTTTACAAAGTACTCCTTAGTCACTAATTTTGTGCTATTAAAACAAGACTTATTTCTTTACTGCTCTTTTTAAAATCTGCCTTAATTAAATGTTGCTTTTCCCTGTTGACTAAAATAACTTTCTACCTCCTGGAAGGAAGGTTGAGAGATGGTCTATCACTGCTGTGTGCTGATATACATCTGATCACTCTCTGCTTTGTTATTTTGAACTGAGTAATTTCCAAACTTTTTACTTTTCCTTAAGACCACAGGAAACAAATCGTTAAAAGCACACAGAATTACTTATTTACGTCCTAAACATTAATTAACCATCCAATAAGCATGACATTAGGAAATGAAATGAGTTATGTAGGAAGGAAGGCTCACTCTTTGAAGATGTCATGCTTCAAGAATGATTGAGGAAATCATAAACAGCAGGCAAAATTCACTTACAAGACCTAGGTCACTTACAGTAGGGGAGTCTGTTTCTGTGAAAGTCTGGCAATATGTTTTAAACACTCCTTTGGTGGCTCTTCAAGATTACTTCCATTTTCTTCAGAATCAGGTTTCACATACTCCCACCCAGTAGCTGGAAAATCAATCTGAAAGAAAAAAAAAAGATTTGATATGTGTTGAAAGTGTCTCAAAATACATTATTGATTTAATACTCCTATCTTAGATTTATAGAAACTAAAGAATGGAACAACTTCTATTTTTTCTGTGTTATTTATAATTTTAAAATAATTTCTAAAATAATTATTAGAGGTTGGACTTAGGATCTAAATATACAAGGTATTTAGCCAATTATTTATACAAATAATTGTATAAATAATTATAGATGGGTCACCTGTAATGTTGTCTGAGGGAAAATAAGAGAAATAATAATATACAATCTCTCCATAAAGATTAATATGTTACATTTTTGGTTAATGCTGACATTATATCCTTTTTACATTTCAGTGTTAAAATGTCTCCTTATGAAATGATGAAATTTAACATTGGTAATAATGCTATTTTCAAGTAACCTGCTTGAGAAAATAGAATTAATCTATATTGATCTCTAGTTCATGAAATCTGCAAGTCTGGGAATCATTTTGTACACATGAGTGAGCTCTTCTTTGATAAAGAACTGTTGTGTTAGTAAAAAGTCAAATAGAATATTTCTGCTTTGGTTCTGTAGTTCGGATTTATAGACAGTTCCAGAACCCGGCCTCCTTTTTTTCCTGGCTCAATCTACTTACCATTAAACCATGTTTCAGTGATTCAGAATCTGATTCTAGTAAATAAAATTACAGTTAACAAAAAGGCAGTTCCAGACTATGTAAATAAGCTGGATATTTTAGGGCTCCATAGGTTTGCTTAAGGTTATCACACATACTGGTTTTTTTTTTCATTTTAATATTAGAAATCCCACAGACATTATTTTTTTTCTGCTGAATTATGTTGGGTTGGAATCTCAGAGAAAATTGAGGAACCTTACAAAGCAGATGGTATGAGTTTCAGTTTGAAATACAGTTTAATATTTTTGAGCGCTTATTTATTTGAAAAAGTTTTAGTAATTTGATTCTATAACCTCTAGCATTTGTTATAATTTTTGTGTTTGATATAATCTGCGTTACAGTGTATCAATTACTCCAACATGATAAAAGAAACAAGTATGAGATCAGCTTAACTGAAACATTACAGCAAAGTTTGCCTCTTGACAAAAATTGATCTTGAAAGATGAACTTTGGTACCTTAGAGGGAAGGGCATCCAGTACGAGCAAGTTACATGCTACTCTTTATATGGACAAATATTTTTAAATAGCTCTTAATGAGTTAGTACCATGTTATGTTGATACTAAGTATATGGCATAGTGGATGAGAAAACTGAGAAGAGTAGTTGAGCATACAAAATAACTCCTGTGTACAAACCTGTAATAAACTATTTGTATATATTTCACGTAGGAAACAATTTTTATTTCTGATACGTGAGTGAGATCTTTTATCAAATTGCATTTTTTCATGAATTATGAGGCTAAATAGCTACTGATTCTTGAGTTGCTATAGAAAGTAATGGAATTTTTCCTAGTTGCCTTTTGTACTCTTTATAAGAGAAAACGTCCCCAAAACTATGCTTTAATGCATTTGCTTTAGAACACTTTTAGGCACCATACATTATGGAAGATATAAGTAATATCTATTATTTTCTGATAACCTAAAGTCTAATTGAGGAGAAAAGGCACACACATTAACAATTAAAATAGAGAATAATAAATACATAGCACCCCAAAGCTGTGCTTCATTGTTGTGCTTTCAGTACTGACAAACATTCGACTCTGTTCTTTCTCCTTCTGTGGCTGTGGCTAACCAAGCCTGGCCTTGGTCTCAAATTTCTTTTTAAAGGAATGCTCCAGGAGATGTACTCAAATGTCAGCATTGCATGCGTCATGACATCTATTTTTCACATTCCTGGCTAAGCCTTGAGGATACACTCCTGATTTTAACAACAACAACAACAACAACAACAATATGGGTTTTTGGGGGGAACAGAGGAAGATATTCAAAGCTGGTAATGCTCCCTTCTAATTCACACCTCCTTACACATTTGGATATCAACTTCTTGTGTTCCAATGATTCATCTCGCTTCATTTCTTCTGCTCATCCTTTGTCATTCACACTAGGCCACCGTGATTTCTATTATGGCTTCATGACTTGGCACTGCTTAAGGGAGCTGTTGTGAATGTCCCCAGTGTCCATGCCCCACAACCATAGCCATAAGGTGCCCCTGGGCCAATTTTGGGTTCCCATGATTCTGTCAGATTATCCAAGAACTTCCACTTTGACTGTGTGTGGTTTGGTATTATAAGACACACGTGCTGGGCGTGATGTCTCATGCCTGTAATCCCAGGACTTTGGGAGACTGAGGCAGACAGATCACTTGAGGTGAGCAGTTCGAGACCAGCCTGGCCAACATGGTGAAACCCTGTGTCTATTAAAAATATAAAAATTAGCCATGTAAGGTGGCATACGCCTGTAATTCCAGCTACTTGGGAGGCTGAGGCACGAGACAGAATTGCTTGAACCATGGAGCTGGAGGTTGCAGTGAGCTGAGATCGCGTGCCACTGCACTCCAGCTGGGGTGATGGAGCGAGACACTGTCTCACAAAAAAGAAAAGAAAAGACATACGCATGTTAGACCCTGAGTTCTATTGCAGTTCAGAGGAAGGAAGGATAACTGCTAACTGGGTGGCAACTGTGGTGAGTCTGAAAAAAGGAGTTGTAAAAGAGGGATCCATATGGTGGTTTTGGAGTGAGAAAAAAAAGGATCTCTGTTACATTAGAAATCAAAATATAACGTGTTCTAAAACCTCTGTATCAATGATAAGACTGGTGCTTCTTCCTAACACTGACGATAATGGAAGATAAGCATGTACTAAAATGTTAGATAAAGTAAAACATTTTGAATGAGTAAGATCTGTGGTTTAAGGAGACGTCTCACTTAGCTAAAAGGAAGAGCTAAACATTTTGGTATTCAGGTTCAGATAAGTGGACCAAAGGGCTAAATTGAGACATACCTGTGGGCGGTGTTTTTGTAGTCATCAGAAATATGGATATATATCATTAATTTAACAAATAAATTATTCCAACTACTGCGTTAGATGCTTGTGATATAATACCTTCAATGCCATCAGAGATCACTCAGTCAGTGGAAAGGAATATGATGTGGTAAATGTGTTGATAAAAATGCTATTGGGTATTACGTGAACATAGAAGCACTTATCTCTGCTTGGCCTGAGAAGAGTGGAGGGGATAAGGAAGAGATTTCTGGAGGGTCCATGGATGGAAAAAGATGAATCTCATTTACACAGAGTCAGAGGACGGGTGGACAGTGGAGGGTGAAGGGGAGAGGGCACATTATAGACAGGGAACGGTATTCGTAAATTTACGTAAGTTGAAAGCAGGACAGTGCATGTCAGAAATGACAACATTTTCAAAGTTGTTGAAGCTTAAAGTGTTAAACAGGGACTGGCAAGAGAAGCAATGGAAGAGGGGTCATGCTACAGAGGTTGGCCTGAATCCTCTGGGTAGCACTGAGTTATTGAAGAGTCTAAGCAGGGAACTGGCAGGTTCAGACTTAAGTTTTAGAAGAATCACCCTTGTGACTCCATAAATTTTAGATTAGAGAATGACAAAACTAAAGCCAAGGAAACCAGAAGATGAGGTGAGGAATTGAGAGGATAGGCAATAAAAATATAGAAGATAAATTGGCAGGATGTAGTATGGACTGGATATGAGTAGAGAGAAAGAAGGAAGGAGGCAAGAAAAACAGGTAGGTGTGTGGGGGGCATGAACAGACATAAAGAATTCAGAAGGTGAAAGTAATTTTGGAGAGGAAGTGGGCTCCGTTTGCGGCATGTTTCATTTGAAGCTGCCAATAGAATATCCAGGTGGGAGTTTCAGCAAGTATACGGCTATATTTGTATGAATCTTGAGGTGTGAAGAAGTCTGAACTAGAGATACAGACTCAGAAGTACACTTACATAGATATTGAGACAAGAACCTTAGAAATGTAGGAGACCCAGTAATTCCATGGCTCAGTATGTATTCAAGAAAGATGAAAACATGTTCACACAAAAACGTGCCCATAGGCATTCATAACAGCAATATTCTTAATAGCTAAATAGTGGAAAGAATCCAAATGTACATTGACTGATAAATTAATAAATAAAAGATGGTATATTCATATGTACATATTATAATAATGTAATACTATTGTATAAAAATGTATATGTAATATAGAAAAAGGAATGAATCCCAATCGGTGCTACCACCTGGATGCCCTTTAAAATATTATGCTAAGTGACAGAAGCTGGCCACAAATAAGATCACAGATTGTATGATTCCATTTACATGAAATGCCCCAAATAGTCAAATTGATAGACACAGGAAGAGGATTAGTGGTTGCTTAGGATTGGGGGAATAGGAAGTGAGAGCTAAGGGGTATGGGATTTCTTTTTTGATGTGATGAAAATGATCTGAAATTGACTGCGGTGATAGTTGCATGTATCTGTGAAAATACTAAAAACTACTGAATTGCACACTTTAAATGGGAGGATAGTATGGTATGTGAATTATATCTCAAGAAAGCTGTTGTTTTTTTTTTAAAGAAAATAAATGAATGAGAGCATCCAGGGAGAATATGTGCACTGTGCAGGGCAGCGGGCCGCAGACTGAACCTTCGAGAATTGTCCTTGGTGAGAGCCTGGGAAGGAGACAAAGGATGACCAGAGAGCAGTGGAAGGAGATAACTGAGGGCAGTAACACCAAAGCCAGAGGAGGAGGGGGTTCAGTTCTGTGGAAGGAGGAGGGAGAAAGTTCAATCTCTGAAGAAGAGGAGGGAGTTCAGTTACGGGGAAGAGACAGACAGTGCCAAGAAGAGCAGAGGGAGGGCTAGCCTGATGAGGACTGAAAACCACCACTGGATTTGGCACCTAGGAATCAGCAGGTACCTAACCACAGTTAAGAGTGGTGGCAAGCCAGAATACAGTGATTTTAGATACAAATGGGGAGGTGAGGAAGTAGAGAAACATAGATCCCGGCACTTTGAGAGGCCAAGATGAGGTGGATTACCTGAGGTCAGGAGTTCAAAACCAACCTGGCCAACATGGTGAAATACCGTCTCTACTAAGTTACAAAAATTAGCTGGGCATGGTGGCGTGCACCTGTAATCCCAGCTACTCGGGAGGCTGAGGCAGGAGAATTGTTTGAGCCCAGGAGGAGGAAGTTTCAGTGAGCCGAGTTCGTGCCACTGCACTCCAGCCTGGGCGACAGAGTGAGACTTTGTCTCCAAAAAACAATAATAATAAAGAAACATAGACTAGAACAAGAACTGCATGAATTCCTATGAAACAGCTCTGCATTTAGTGCTTGAATATGTGACAGAGCTGTTCCACTACATTGCATTCAGGGAGAGGCAGGAAGTTGAGGGAGATCCAGGCTAAGTGAGTCAAGCAATAACTTATGTGTCATCTGCCTCCATTTCTGAACTAAAATCTATTTTACTCTGTCCACTGCTTCCAGTTGGTACCTCAATCAACCATAGGACCTGAAAAAAGTATTGCCTGAAAGCGATCACATCTGTGTCATATCACATCCCTTTTCATACCGGAGTGGCTGCAGCATGGCGGTAACCACTGTCTAATCAGGACAGTCAGAAAAGTGAAGTCAGGTAGGCTTGGTATAATCTTTTCATTATGCAGAGGATAAAATAGGTTAGGTGACTTATTCAAGGTCATAAAGTTTTCTGTAAAAGAAAGACTGGAATCCAGATTTTCTAACTCTCAGTCAAATGTCTTTCCCTGAGACTCATACTAACTCCTTAATGAAATACTGGATGCAGAACTTGGTTGTAATTTCATCATCTCATAATCCTTAGGTTGAAAGATTGTGCTCTAAATTTAGCTGACTATTCAATTAAACTGATAGTCTTAAAGGTTTTTTCTTTACTACCTTAATAACTCTTATTTTATATATTGCATCACCAATTAAAATCATGCTGAGAGGCTTTTAATGTATCTACGCAATTTGAAATTATTTTGTAAAAATGGGATGGTGTAACTTTTGCATACTGTGGAATGATTTACATGCCCCTCTTCCACTTATTTTTAAGATGAATTATGTTATGGATCCAGATCTTTATCTGGAAATCTGTGCCACTATTGAATATTTGAAGTTTTCCTTCAGATTCCACTTGCCAAAATCTGTGTTCATAAAGGAACTATTCACCTCATCCTGAGAAGTATCAAGGATAGTCTCATCTGATAGATTTTCTTTTCCTTCTTCTACCACCATCACTCTTCTCTGCCCCATAGAACCTTAAAATCATGAATTTATATCCACAAAACTCTGACAATGGTCATACTTGAAAATTTTCATTAAGCTGAGGTGGTTTGGACCTGTCAAGAAATAGTTTGATAGAAAATACATTTGTCCTCCTAAAGAAAGATCACTTATATCTACACTTAGGCTCCCCATAGGTCTATATAAAATGCAAGGTATCTCAAACTGAGTTCATCTTATTACCCTGTTGAAGACTGTCTATCCTTTCTCTGTGTTCATTCTTAAAACTGAAGATATTACTGTGAACTCAGGAACTCAATTTTCTGTCTGTGTTTCCCTATATATTTCCTTCATATAGTTGCACCCCTTTCTGTTTAAAAAAAGTTTCTAAAATCTACCATTTAATTGTTTTTTTTTCTTAGTTTTTGGCCCTATGATCCTTAACTTAGATCATTAAAATATTCTTCTAATATTTTAGTCCAGGCTGGGTGCAGTGGCTTATGTCTGTAATCCCAACGGTTTGGCATGCTGAGGCAGGAGGATTGCCTGAGGTCAGGAGTTCAAGACCAGCATGAGCAACATAGTGAGACTCCCATCTCTACAAAAATAAATAAATAAGAAAAAAATAACAGGGCGTGGTGGCATGCACTTGTGGTTCCAGCTACTTGAAAGGCTGAGATGACAGAATAATTGGAACCCAGGATGTGGAGGCTGCAGTGAGCTATGGTTATTCCACTGCACTCCAGCCTGGGTGACAGAGTGAGTCCCTGTGTCAACAAAACACAGCAAAACAAAAACAACAACAACAACAACAACAACAAAAAAAACAAGAAAAAAAAAAAAAAAACCAGTAACATACACACAAAAACCCAAAGCAAAACAAAAGCAAGTGTTCACATATCCAATCTTCTTGTTTTTTAAGGCATTTTCTACAACATTGCTAGAACTACTTTTTATGACTTACTGCCGAGATAACCATGTCCAAACTTGGTACACAATCTGGTATGTGTAGTCTTCTCTACCTATGGTAGAGAAGGTTTTTCACTTTTTTTACCACTGTTTTCCACTTTTTTACCACTGTTCTTCACATAATTTATTCTTTAATCTTAACAAACTTGCCATATTTTGAAACTGCCAACTCTTTTCTGAATCTGTGTGTTTGCACTGTGCTTTCCTTTATGACTGGATAATCCTTCCCACTGAAACTCGTTAGTGTGAATTTACTCATTCTATAAAGGGCATTCAAATGTCATGTCCTCTGGGTGTCTGTCTGTCCCCAGACTTTTTACATTTCTTTACTTTCCCTCAGAAATATTCATTGCTATTCTCGCTGTCTTAGTGTCCCTACAATGGCTATCCTATCTGTCACATTACATCAGTGTGAGTTGTGGAAGTCGGTCTCTCCAGCTGGATTTCGCATTCCTTGAATTCCTGGCTTAGTATTACGTATCCGCTCCTTTTTGTAAGAGTGTTTACCATAATATTTGGAGCATAGTAGTCATATATGAAACATGAATCAAATGTGATTGAACTGAACCTCTAGCATTTTGCTTTTTTTCTCTATTAGTAGAATATGTTTACCGGGTTTGTGATGAGTCTCTCCTCTTTATTCATGGATATACTTATCTTTTTGTTCTTTTAAAACAGAACAAGTGCTAATTGATAAGATATCATGTGTGGAGTGTGTATGATGTTGTGCCAAGACCTAATCTGAATAAGCATTCTTCTTTAACACGTCCACAGATTAGAAGTGGATCTTTAGGTGTCATCTGGTCGAATCTTCCTCCGCAAGAATGTGATGCCATATTTTTATTAGTATTAATTTTTCCTTTCCATGTTAAATATTTTTCTGCGCATCTTTCTCCACTCTATGTCCCAAACCCCTCACCACAATCCTGGAAACTTAAGAGCCGGGAGACTCTACTAACTTCTTCTAGAGCAGTGATGTCAGCTGAGGAAATCCTTTTCTCAAAGCACATTTGACAATATCTGGAGACACTCTTTGATTGCCAGAACTGAGAAAGTTCCTTAGGCATCCCTAGTGGAAAGAAGGCATCCCTAGTGGAAAGAAGCTAGGGATGGTGCTAAACATCCTGAAATACACAGAACAGCCTCCACAACAAAGAATTTTCTTGTCCAAAATGTCAATACTGGTAAAGCTGAAAATCTCTGTTCTAGAGGATGCTGCCCAGAGAATATTTTCTAATTTTTCCTATACAGATGAAAAGTTCATATTCCATGCATTTCTCTATATGAGACTGTGCATGCCTCACATTTCCAACCAATCTGATGAACTACAATCAGGAACCCATAAGGAGCTGTCAGCACTAAGGACGAAAGCCTGAAGTAATTTACCACCTTTCTTTTATGATCACAAATCACACAGAGTAGAGAGACTTTAAGAAAAAGAAAGGATAATTAGTTTGCAGGTTTTTTTCCTGCTACTCAGTTAATTGCTAGTCATTTTAGAAACATATAACAGAAGAGATTTTAAAGAAATATGACACGAAGCAGAGGCAGGTGTGAGTAGGATACCAAGTTAATAATACATACCAATGACTGTTTTTAGACAATAGAAAGAAAACGAATGCCCATAGTGAGTATACTAATGGCAACACTCCATAGTTCTCCAACATGACCTTGTTGGATGAAGCATGGTTTGAAACTGCCATTATACAAGCTGGGAGAAAAGTGCTTTGAGAGTACTGTACATAAAATAAAAGCAGTAGAGGTTTCACAAATCCCAGAAGGCTGGAGGTAGAGAAGACTATTAAAATGTGTGATCCTGGAAGAAATTGTTTCTATAATTGACAGCAAACTACTTATCAACCAATACTTGCCATGTGTACTTTAATCTTGTAGCCTGGCACTTACCTGCAGGGTCACTGGGGATGGCTGACTTACATCCCACACTCCTGGTGCTATCATTTCTACGGGAGGCTCACTCTGTAATGTCATGCTGAATAGCATAGACCCGAGAATGGATTTTCTGCAAAAGACAACACATACAGACAGACAGGAGTCACTTCATGAGGGAAGTTATAATTATCTGTAAATGTTTTCTTTCGGAATACAAACATAATCCGCTCTTAGAGGGGCTTTATTCGGTTGCTAGAAAAGAAAAGAGATAGTCCACCAGCCCAGACACTGATTAACAGTTCATTTCGAATATACCACATGCTTGGCTATTTTCATAAATGCCTACACTTATTTTCCACATGAGAAAATTATTTACCCACAGTGGTTTCTAATGGGTAGCATTTATTTTTAATTGCCATCAGTGGTGATTATAAGGTGGGACTAAGAATTTCAGATTTATATTATTGGAGTTACAACTGCCTTAAATCAATACAGATGTCAACTCTTCAGAACATATTTCGCTCCATGGAGTGACTAAATCCCCTGGGAATCTTTAAAGATATAAGTTCTAAATTTATAGAAAAAAAAGATTTAAATTAGCATAGCATATGCTCTGCAGAATAAAAATAGTTGCAGGGCTTCACGGAGGAAACGCTTCCTTATGCATAAATAGAAAGATTATTCATATTCTAAATGTTTAAAAATCAGTGGTAAATTACCATAGTAAATGAGAGTGCATACAGGGAAGGCTTTAAACAGGGAAGAGTTCGTGGTTGGTTTTAACAGCTTCAGTAACATCCAAATCCACAGATCCTTATGTGAATTAAAAAAGAAGTTGTACCTGGCTGTGTATATGAATCAGAATATCAGTAAAATGTTCCAATGATCATGGAAAACAGTCTTGGATTTTAATATGCCAAATTGAAAGTGCAAAACTGAAAGTCAACAAAATTAAATTTAAGTTTATAAAGAACTTTAATGCCTCAAGTGAGCTTTTCTAAAAGCGATATACAATTCCATCTTGCCGTTTAACAGATCTTATGCAAAACATGAGGAAGAAATTCAACAAATAAAGCTTTCTTTAGACCTTTAGCTTTCTGAAGACTGCTTCTTTTATTATTTTCTCTATTTAAAGATATTGTCAGCACATATCTGCCTAGAGGAGTATAATGTGCTTTATTAAAATGTGGGCAGATGTTTTATATGACTTAAGAATATTCTTCTAGCAGGATGAATTTTGAGTCTTCTTTGTTTCTTTGTTCCATCCCTCCCTTACCTGAAGAAAATCTGTCTTGGTATAACAGTATCGGGGGTCCAGTATTAGTAAGTTATGGATTAGTTTAATAGAGGTAAAGATTAAAAAATTATTATTGTAGTTTTCACCTTTGCCTTTCAGAGCATATGACCTTCACTCCAAATGGCCAAATCCCCAACTGCCTGGGAAAAGTTTTGCGTTAGTGTTAGGCAGAATGCAAGAGGAGGAAGAAGCTTGTCCAACACGAAACTTGGAGGTCATATTGTTCTCCACAGCATTTACAGAAAATGTTTCTGTGCATGGGAAAGAGTCAAGAGAGGTGAGGAAGGAGGAGGATGTGCCATATTGGATAGGAGAACATGACAAAAGAAAAGCCCATCACTTCCTTGGAGTTTGGGAGGATGAGAAGTAGAAGGCAGAGAAAGAAGGAATCGAGTAAGCATGGCGGACACAGGTGTCCCAGTTTGCCTCTCCTTTGCTTTGGCAAGCAGGTGGGGAGAAGTGTGAGATCAGTGAGCAAAACATAATGCTGAAGGCAGAGGATCTCCTCTTCTCACTCCCTGTTTCAGATCCTGGAAGGCAATCACCTCTTGAGTGGTTCTGCACTGCTTGTGGCATGGCCGTTAAACTTGGTGTCCGTGATTAACAAGCAGAAGGAACTCGTGAATTTAGCTTTTCTGGGCCTTCTTTGCTTTCTGTGTAGTTGAGATGGGATCTGGAAATATCTAAAGATTTTCAAGAGGGAGAGTTTCCAGAGTTTCCCTGGTGGGAATAAGGGCTTCTGTAATAAGGGCATCTGATAGGACCATCCAACCTGGGGCCAACTGGGAGTCGTTGGCAAACCTCAGGAGGGTCTATGGTGCCTGTGAGAGCCTGAGTCACCCAGGGCTTTCCAGGAAACCCTGGCCAAGCTGGGGGAGCCCCAGTCATGAGCTGGAGACTTCAGCTGTAACAAGCATCCATCAGCTTAAAAAGGGGCTTTCATTTGGATATCAGAAGTCACCAGGGCAAAGGATCTGTTTTTATGTTTTTTTGTTTTCTCCTTTTCTTATATATCCTTTCCCCCTCTTAGGAAGAGAGCCAGGGTATAAGAAATTTATCTGAGTGACCCAGCATTTTTTAAAAGAGACTGCATATTTCTAAAAGGACTAGTTAAAGTTACTGAACTAATACTTTATCATAGATGAAACTTTATTTCTTCTCATTAGTTACAGGGTGGGAGCTCATGAGGAAGAGTGTGATACATGAGTTGCATTATTTATTCACACCTAAGTTGTGGAATGTGCTATATTTGCATCCTTACTATATTTTTATGTCTTGGCTATGCTATACTCCAAAAATCTGAGTGATCTAAGCTGGTCTGGACAGAGGATGAGGGTTCTCAAGAATTTGATGGTAATTTCTGTGCCTGGATGGAGTCTTGGATGTATTAACAGTCACCATGGCTTTAACCCTGAGGCACATGTGGCAGAGTGAAGTCAGAACATTTGACATAGGTGTGTGTATGGGGCAATGTATCAACAAATGCATGTCTGTTATCCCAGCTACTTGGGAGGCTGAGGCAGGAGAATTGCTTGATCCTGGGAGGCGGAGGTTGTGGTGAGCCGAGATCATGCCATTGCAGTCCAGCCTTGGCAACAAGAGTGAAATTCCATCTCAAAAAGGCTAATACAATATTCATCTTAAAGCCATATATATATATATAAAATATTTATAACTTAGTCATATATATATAAATATATAATATTTAACTTAAAGTCATTCAGGGGGAAAAGGAAATAAATGTTTGGCACTATTTTGGAGGTTCTTCATGTGTTTGATATTAGTTAATTTACTTTTTGATAACAACATTTGCCTGAAAATATTTTTGGATTTTAGTTAATTAGTTAATTTACTTTTTGACAATAAAGTTTGCCTAAAAATATGTTTGTATATTGCAAGCATAATGGAGGAAATACATTTCTAGGGACTTCTTTAAATAGAGAATATAAGGAAGATGAGGAAAATGAGATGTGAAATTGAAATGTGAAAAGATACATCTAAGTGTGTTGTTAGTTTTCAGAAAGAAGATGAAAATGAAAACTTTTATGACTGGGCAAATGGGGACCACTGGCCATTTTTTAAAGTATTACTCCTATGAAAACATTTATTATGTTAGTTAAATTAAACATTTTGAAGGCAGGAGACACAAAAAGAGAGTTTCATATAATGGAAAGAACATTTTCCATTCCTGTGTCAGGACATCTGGAGCCTGTCTTTATTACCTTCCCTTTATTACCTTTTTTGAGCTTTCCGGACAAAATCAATGGTCTTCAGAGTTTACATAGAGCTTTGAGGTTCTGCTGGTAGTTGAGGGTGAACTTCAGAAAGATGGGACGATACCAGTTAGGCTAGGCTATAGGTTTGTAAATTCTTCTAAAAAACACATCCATGGAATCACTCTTATACTTTGAGACTTTTTAATACGATGCCATTAGAAGAAGGACGACACTGCTAAACATAGTATTTCAAAATATTTGTTCTGAAGTATCCTTAAGAATATTTTCAATTTAAATGTATCATAGAAATTCATTGACTAGAAAAGCCAACACAAAATTTGTGACACCAGGAGAACAGATGGGCTGGTTTACCCTCTTTGGGCCCCATTTCCTCAAACAGTAAGGTAAGGTGTTTAAATAAAACAATTATCAATTTTAGCCGTAGTGTTCTATGTGCCCACTGCTGGCATCCTGGAGCCAAAGAATCTGTAGCTGGCAGGACCAAAAGACCTGTTGTTACAAAATTCTTTGGGCAGCTGACTTTATTATGTCTAATAGGTTTCATGTGCAAGAGTAGAGCCCAGGCTGGACTGAGCTGGAACCCTGTTGTGTTAGGCTCTTCTTGTGTCGCTAAAAAGAAATTCCTGAGATTGAATAATTTAAAAAGAAAAGCCTGATTCTGCAGGCTTTACAGGAAGCAAGGTGCTGGCATCTGCTCAGCTTTTGGGGAGGCCTTAGGAAGCTCCCAGTCGTGGTGGAAGGCAAAGAGTGGGCAGGTGTCTCACATGGTGAGAGCAGGAGCAAGCTTTGAAGATGTGCCACACACTGCCAAACAGCCACATCTCGCAAGTACCCACTCACTATCTCAAGGACAGCCACAAGCCATGAAGGACCCACCTCCATTATCCAAACCTCTCTCACCATGTCCTACCTCCAACACTGGAAACTACAGTTCAACACAAGATTTGGAGGAAACAACATCCAAACTATATTATTCTGTCCCTGGTTCCTCAAATCTCATGTCCTTCTCACATTCCAAAATAAAATCATGCCTTCTCAATAGTCACCCAAAGTCTTAACTCATTTTAGCATTAACTAAAATGTCTGAAGTCCAAGTTCAAAGTCTCATCTGGAAATCAGTTGTTTCCACTTATGAGTCCATAAAATCAAAACAAGTTACTTACCTCCAAGATAAAATGGGGGTACAGAAATTGGGTAAACATTCTCATTCCAAAAGGGAGAAATTGGCCAAAAGAAAGGAGTTACAGGTCCCATGGAAGTCTGAAACCCAGCAGGGCAGTCATCAAATCTTAATGTTCCAAAATAACCCTTGACTCCATATCCTGCATCCCAAGCACATTGATACAATGGTGGGCTCCCAGGACCTTGGTCAGCTCTGCCCCTGTGGCTTTTCTATGCTGAGTTTGTAAGCTGCTGATGGCTCTACCATTTCAGAGTCTGGAGAACAGTGGCCCACTTCCCACATCTCCACTATGCAGTGCCCCAGTAAGGACTCTGTGAGGAATCCAACCCCGTATTTCTCCTCTGTACTTTTTTATTAGAGGTTCTCTGTGAGGGATCTGCCCCTGTAGCAGGCTTTTTCCTGGGCACCCAGGCTTTCCAATATATTCTCTGGAATCTAGCTGGAGGTTGCCAAGCTTCCTTCACTCTTGTACTCTGTGTGCTTGCAGTCTTAACACGTTGTGGAAGCTGCCAAGGATTATAGCTTGCACCTTACAAAGTGGTGGCCCAAGCAGTACCTGGGCCCCTTTGATTTGAGGCTGGAGCCAGAGCAACCTGGGTATGGGGAGCAGTGTTCTGATGCTGCACAGGGCAGCAAGGTCCTGGGCCTAGTCCCAGAAACCATTCTTTCCTCCTAGGCTTCAGGTCTTGTGATGGGAGGTACTGCCTGGAATATCTCTGAAATGCCTTCAAGACATTTTTCACATTTTCTTGGCTATTAGCACCTGGCTATTTTTCAGTCACACAAATATGTCTAACAAGTGGTTGCTCCAAGTCCATTTCAACTTCTCTCCTGATAATGTTTTTTCTTTCTCTGCCACATGGTTAAGCAGCAAATTTTCCAAACTTTTACACTCTACTTCCCTTTTAAATACAAATTCCAATTTTAAGTCATTTCTTCATTCCTGAATCTGAGATGAGGCTGTTAGAAGCAGCCAGGCCACCTCTTGGATGGTTTACTGCTTAGAAATTTATCTTGTCAGATACCCTAAATCATCATTCTTAAGTTCAAACTTCCACAGATTCTTAGGGCATGAACACAATCCAACCAAATTCTTTGCTAAGGCATAACAAGAGTGACCTTTGCTTCAGCTCCCAATAAGTTCCTTATTGCCATCTGAGACCTTGTCAGCCTTTACAGAGTCTATATCACTATCAGCATTTTGGCCACAAGTATTTAACTAGTCTCTCAGAAATCCCAAACTTTATCTCATCTTCATGTCTTCTGAGTGCTCCAAACTCTTTCAACCTCTGCCTGTTACCCAGTTCTAACACCACAACCACAGATATCTTTATAGCAATACCCTACTCTGGTACCAGTTTTCTGGGTTAGGCCATTCTTGCATTGCTGTAAGGAAATGCCTGAGACTGGGCAATTTAAAAGAAGAGAGGTTTAATTGGCTCACAGTTCTCTAGGCTTTATAGGAAGCATGGTGCTGGCATCTGCTGGGCTTCTGGGGAGGCCTCCAGAAGCTTATAATCATGGCAGAAGGCAAAAGAGGAGCAGGTGTCTCACATGGTAAGAGCAGATGGGAGGAGGTGCCGCATACTTCCAAACAACGAGACCTTGTGATAACCTAGTCAATATCTCGAGGACAGGACCAAGTCATGAGATCTGCTCCTATGACCAAAACACCTACCACCAGGACCCACCTCCAACGCTGAGGACCATAATTCAATATGAGATTTAGAGGGGACAATATCTAAATTATATCCCTCTTGTAGGGTAGTGAAGTGTTTACAGAGTGTTCATGGATTAAGGCATGGCACCTAAGAGCAGGAAGGGAGGTGGCTTAAGGTAGTTAAAGCTCAGACCTGCATTCTAGTTCTTGTTCTATTCTAAGTAGTCTGGTGACCAACTGCCGGTTTTTAAATCTTCCTTCATCAGAGAGTTCTTTATCTGTAAATGACATATTTGGACTAACTGACGGTCTCCTGGATAGGAGAGAAAAACAATAAATTCTCATCCACAGTTTTTTTTGTTGTTGTTGTTATGATTTTGAAGATATAACTGAAACGATTTGATACAGTAGAGTCAGGGTTGGCTACTCAGGAAATTTTCTAACTAATCTAATTGTTTTGAGATTAAGATTTATTTTAGACCTTTTTTGAACTTATGAAAAACATCCTAATTTTCCAAGGTTTTAAACTCACCTTGGGAGCTTTGAAAATACTGGTGCTCAGGCCAGGCACAGACCAATTAAATTAGAATCTTTGGGCATGCTTGGGCTTTGGGTTTATTTTTAAATCCCCTCAGAAAATTCTATTGTTTAATTGGGTCGAGAATCTCTGTGCTGAAGTAGCTTACCACAGTTTAGCAATGCTACGTAACTATGATACTATTAATTTTGAACTTGAATAGGGGAGGAAGCTCATGGAAATTGCTGAGGTGAGGATAACACTTTCTCACTACATTGTGGCAACATTACAAATGTAGATGCAGTTGAAGCCTTTTCTGCAAAAAACAGGATTATAAAACTTCTGTGGGCCAAATTTACCTTTGCATTTGAGACTTTTAAAAATAGAATTGAAGACAAGTTTGCATGCTTGAAACTGCAGAAGTTTATTTTTATTTTCAGACTTTGTTGATACAGCCCTAACTGATTTATCTGAGTTTAATCACCATTGGTTTTTCTGAAATCCACTTCTGAAAACCACAAAGAGATAGGAAACCTTTAATTCTGCGTATTTTCTGTTGATATATGTGTTGGAAAAAATAATGACGTAAGCACTCATTATAGTTCCACATGGCTAGCTATGGGCAATTTGAACTGTAAAAAAAGACAGATTCAATACCAAATGTTTATGAGCAGGGATTACCCTATCAAAGGAAATGAAATTAAGTCATCAATTTGCTGTGATCTGGAAATATCTGCATCAAATAAATTGGGTTAGAATCTTTGTAACTTGAAGCAATGAGCAAAGTGGAGTCTTCGCAGCCTCCCAGTTGCCCCATGTGATGTATTTCTGGTTTCTTAAAAATATCTGTATTTCCTTAAATTGTCTACCACAGGAGAAAAGCAGATTTTCTGATTTTCAGGAGAAACAGGGCATTTTTGAAAAATATTTAGAAATCCTTATTGAGTAATTGTTGAAGTGAGTTGTGTTTTTTGATGTCTCATTATCTACAATTTTGACATATCCCCTTAAAACAAATGCTACCTAGGATCAGTCCCAGATGCCATCTCTCACAAATGCTCATCTTCTATGACCACTTGCCTATAACATGCTTACCAATAGTAAGTGACATATGACAAAACAACATGGAGGTGGTATTTTTACTATCATAACTATCTGGAAAAATGCCTTGAAGATTAGTTTTAAAGACAAAAATATTCCTAAATTCTTGTATGTTTAGTGTTTATTGATTGCTGTGTGCAAGTAGTGTGTTACATGATGTGAGAGTAAAATGGACTTAACCTTTTTTTCTTTTTTTCAGTGACTAGCTAGAAATATTCTACAAAAAATGGTAGATCTTACAAATACTGCAGGTGAAACTTTAAGGAAACTCACTCAAGAGAAGGAAGGACACTTGTATAGCTGTTCCTAGTGAGAAAGAAAATAAAGTTCTTAGCATACAAATCATATCTTTGAGATGTCTAACAGCAGTAGGTATTGCTTTTAGGGATAAACTGTTTCTTATAGACCTTGAAATCTTATTTCATTCTTTATCTCCTCTATAGGGACTGTTTTTTTCCCTCAATTCACTTTAGTAAACAAACCTGTACTGATTGCCTATTTATATGAGGTGCTACGTTAGATGATAGATATGACAAAGATAAATACATTCCCTGTCCTCAAGGAACGATGGTATAGAAATGGGCTAAAGCATGAAAACAAATAACAGAGCAACACACGCACACACACACACACACACAGAGCTTACATCAGAATTAATCCAACGAAGAAGATTTGAAACACCTATTATGGTTGCTGATAATAATTTTTTATATTGATTAGGTCTGGGAAATAAAAATTAATAACTTAAAAAAATTTGTATCACCATATCTTTCTAAAACAGCAGAGGGAAAAACATATGTTATAAAAATATTAACATTACAATATATGTGCTGATTTTTTGAAAGTCCCAAATTTTATCATTTGATTCTGAAGCAAGACTAGCCATGTGAAAAATGGTTGATTTTTAAAAAATATTTTTCCTTAATACCATAGAACATCATGTAATTGATTTTATCAAGTATTCCAAATATTAATATTTTCCAAGACTTATGGTTAAATGAACACTTCATTTTACAATGATCATTAGTTCTGAGAGAATATCTGAACTTATAATTGACCTAGTTTTCTGAAAAATATCACCTTAAAGTTACTAAATATTTCTTCTTGACAAGAAAAGGTCAGTAAGTCAGTTACCTTGTATAATTTTACTTTAGCCAGAATTCCATGAATTACATTCTTTCTAAATGACAGTATTAATCCAAATCATTTTGAATTACTAATTCCAAAGAAATCAGTTGGTCAGAAAAGAAAAAGTAATTGAGATTGGTCATGCCTATACCTTTTCATTATAAATGACCCCGCTGACAAGTTCAGCATGAGTCCTGTTTTGAAAGCCATTTCTACAATTTTACTTTTCAGTTCTGCTTTCAGCAGTCATGATTTATATTGAACTATGTCCATTTTAGAATAAAATGTCTTGATTTCCTCATTATGCCATATACTCCCAAATATTTACTTCTAAGAATGTCTTATTGAAATGATAGGCTTATTACTCACAATTGATACACTTACTCTTTTGGAAACAGTGGAAGACAAGTCCAAGCCAGTAAATTTGCCTTGTTGGTTGCACAGGCAATCCCAAACAGTTTTACAGTGAGCATGGATTCCCTTGGAAGTGACTTTATTTCAAGGGGAAAATTGATCCTAAGAACAAAAGAAAGAAGTAGCATTACCTACCCAATTGTACTGATATTTTAATGAAAATGTTCTTATACTGTACTGGTCTGGGACAAAGATATTTAACTATTTGAATTGAGGCTGCCTCTTGAAATTTTTTGTTTAATCTGTAAAAATGAAAATTCAACAGAAATATGTAGGATAGTGAGCTTTTGTTAACTGATGAAACTTATTCCTGATCATGTTGACATGTAGGTGTATTTTTAAAAGTTACAATAACTTGAACATTTATTCTTAATCTGTTGCAAGCACAGATGAAAAACAGACTTAGAAAGACACTGTGTTAGGGAGTTGGAGGAGGCAGGAAATAACTCAAAATGATTCTGAAAGATTAAGCTATAATGAGGTGGAGATTTGGAAAAGAATATTCCAGAAAGAGGAAAAAGCACAGACAGGGGCATATATGGATGAACGACTAGGTGTGTCTGATAAATGGTGAACAGTTCATTGTGGCTAGAACAAAAGATGAAGTCAAGTTGACAGGGAAAATTATGGAGGATGTAATTAGAAAGATAAGTGGTTGCCAGAATGCTTAAGAGCTCTACATGCCAGGCAAAAGAATTTGAACTTTTCCCTAAAGTCAAAAATAAATATTTGAAAGAGCCAAAGTGTAGAGAGTTTTTTGTCATTTTAAATGTGGACCATTCTGGATCATGATGAGGTCCTAGGAATTTGTGGGATGGTCACTGAAATGTAACACATATACAGTCTCTGGATATGATAAGGTCAAGACACTCTGAACTCAGATACTGGATGGATTATAGATACTAGCAAATTAAATTGGCTAAGGATAGACACAAGGTTTTTGATGGTGAGAAAAACTCGAGTTTGGGTTGAAGGCATCAATATATATAAGGAAGTGTCCAGAAGGTCATAAATACTACTATAAGACTGGGTGGGGTATACATAGGTGGCATGATTGTTTGAGAAGGGGCTTTTGACAGAAAGTTGAGATTGTGATCTGACATCACTAATAGGGGCAGGGAGACATGTACCTTTCATTCTTTTCTGGAGTCATCTGAATTGTATAGAATTATATGATCAGGAAATGAAAGAAATTTTTTTCTTTCAATGTTCTCAGGAGATCAAGAGATGAAAGAAATGTTTTTTTCCTAGGAGCTGAGATGGGGAGATATGTTTACTAGCAGGTGAGAATGCTAAAGAGGAATGAGAAAATTGGAATAAACTTTGGCAGACAAGGCCAGAGTCATGGGAGATAAATCACTGATGAATGGGAAGGATACAGAGGAGACTTGAAGAGTGACTGAGCAGCTTTATGGGATGATACCTGATGGCCATGAGGTGTGAGGGAAATACACAGAATCTACTGGCCTTGTCATTCCTGGTTGAACTATGATGTTAAATTGTTTGAGCAGTAGGTGATTATTAGAGTACCAATGATGACCAAAGCCTATTGTCCAACTGAAAGGTGCTGACTGAGGTTCACCCAGCTGAGACCTCAGGTAATATTAAGCATCTTCTCACACTAGGAATTGGCTTTCTAATCTGGAGACTGGGGAGCAGTTTTTACCCTGGGTTTCAAATCAAACATTGGTGACTCCTTTTTTTCAGTGCCTGTACAGCATCCAACCTTGGGGATAAGGAGAAGTTAAGTTAAATCTCTCTCTCCTTCTCATGGTGTCCACTGAGATAATCAAATCCAGATCCAGCATGGTCATAGAGCAGTGAGCAGGATGAAAGACAGAAGAGCTATTTTAGAAGTAAAAAGCGGCCGGGCGCGGTGGCTCAAGCCTGTAATCCCAGCATTTTGGGAGGCCAAGACGGGCGGATCACGAGGTCAGGAGATCGAGACCATCCTGGCTAACAGGGTGAAACCCCGTCTCTACTAAAAAATACAAAAAGCTAGCCGGGCGAGGTGGCGGGCGCCTGTAGTCTCAGCTACTCGGGAGGCTGAGGCAGGAGAATGGCGTGAACCCGGGAGGCGGAGCTTGCAGTGAGCTGAGATCCCACCACTGCCCTCCAGCCTGGGCGACAGAGCAAGACTCCATCTCAATAAAAAAAAAAAAAAAAAGAAGAAGTAAAAAGCATAACTAATGTCTGATTGTTGGCAACCAGTGAAATAAAACAATAAAGAATTAAAGATGAATTCTAGTTTCTAGATTACAACAGATTTTTTTTTAATTTTTATTTTTTTATTTCCAGAATTTCTTTTTTTAGCGTTTATTTTAGGTTGGGGGTACCTATGAAGGTTTGTTACATAGGTAAACACATGCCATGGTGTTTGTTGTACATATTATGTCATCATCCAAGCATTAAACCCAGTATTCAATAGTTATCTTTTCTTCTCCTCTACCTCTCCCGACCATCCCCCCTCAAGTAGATCCCAGTGTCTGTTCTTTCCTTCTGTGTGTTCATAAGTTCTTTTTTTTTATTGTTATTATACTTTAAGTTCTAGGGTACATGTGCACAATATGCAAGTTTGTTACATATGTATACACGTGCCACGTTGGTGTGCTGCACCCATTAACTCATCATTTACTTTAGGTATATCCCCTAACGCTATCCCTCCCCCCGCCCCCCACCCCATGACAGGCCCCAGTGTGTGATGTTTCCCACCCTGTGACCAGGTGTTCTCATTGTTCAGTTTCCACCTATGAGTGAGAACAGGCAGTGTTTGGTTTTTTGTCCTTGTGATAGTTTGCTCAGAATGATGGTTTCCAGCTTCATCCATGTCCCTATAAAGGACATGAACTCATCCTTTTTAACGGCTGCATAGTATTCCATGGTGTATATGTGCCACATTTTCTTTTTTTTTTCCGCAATAGAAAATGCATTTTTATTCCATATTTTAAAAATATAGACTCTGTAGCAACTTATAAATTTCTATTATAATAATAAATTGATACTTTGAGCCAAGAAAATGATATAACCAAAAATTCATTTGTACCCATTGTTTAGGGGTGTTTTACATTTATGCATAATTTTGCTTTTATAAAAGATGATTGTTACAATCAGGTATACAACGACTTGGTTATGCCTAAGTTCTGTCTCTTAAAATATGTTCTTTTAGAGAATCCATTTAATCATCTTATTCTTCAGTTTTCTCCAAACAGTGCTAGAAGTACAATTTGATGGACAGAATAAACAAAATTGTTTTCCATCACACCCAGATCTTACTGATATCTACAGTATAGTCCTGGCTACAAGGGAGCTCAACTCTAACTCGTGATGTGGGCCTGGTTTAGAAAGTAACGACGAAGTGGTAACTAATGATAGTGCTAGTTGTTATCAAAAATTAACAACTTTAGGTATTTTTGTTTTGGGTTTTTGCGGTTTAGGTGCATCCAAAATTTCTTCATAGTCTGCACTCATTCCCTTTGCCCAGCGACCAACTGTGACCATTCACTCTGAATTCTGCCTTTCAGGGCAATCTTTCTTTAAATGTTCCATAACGAGTTACAAAGCTTGCAGCTGCCACCATCAGCATAGAGTCCTTCGGGATTATCCGGACAAGATCTAGACAGCTGCCCCATTTCTCCACAAACAAAACATTTTGCAAAAGGAAATTCGCCAAGAGCCGGGTCTACCTTAGCCTTACACTTGGTTATTTCGTGCTCTGTGGACCCACACCTGTAACATATCCCAGTGCCCATGTCTTGATTTTCAAGGGCAGCAGGGCAATCTGCAATTCCGTGACCAGGTTTTCTACAATGGAAACACACCATTGAATTTTTCTTTGCCGCCTGTCTTTTTAATCTTCCTTCCCGTCGACTGTCTTTCTTTAAAACAACTGCAATTTCTTCCCTTACTTCCTCACTGTCTGTTGCTACAATTTGCCCATTGTGAACCATCTGTGAATTCTGTCTTAGGTATTCTATGAATCCATTCACATCTTCATTTAAGTACTCCTTTTTCTTTTTGTTCTTTTTATGTTTTGCTTGGGGTGCATCATTTTTGAGGGATAGCCTATTGGCTTCACGTTGTTTACGCTTTGGTAGGTTTTGGCTTGTTCCTTCAAAGGACCCCTTCTTCATGTCCTCCCATGATGTTGCAGGCAAGGGTCTCTTGTTACATGTGGTACTAACTCGGGCCCACCTGGTCATAATTTCATCAGAAGTACCTCACTGTGCTGCCGCGCAGCTTCTTACCGCGCACGAATCCCCCAGAGCAGTCGAGTTCCACATTTTCTTAATCCAGTCTATCATTGATGGATATTTGGGTTAGTTCCAAGTCTTTGCTATTGTGAATAGTGCCGCAATAAACATACATGTGCATGTGTCTTTATAGCAGCATGATTTATAATCCTTTGGGTATATACCCGGCAATGGGATGGCTGGGTCAAATGGTATTTCTAGTTTTAGATCCTTGAGGAATCGCCACACTGTCTTCCACAATGGTTGAACTAGTTTACAGTCCCACCAACAGTGTAAAAGTGCTCCTATTTCTCCACATCCTCTCCAGCACCTCCAACAGATATTTTTAACTGATAGGGAACACAGAAGAAAGAGGAAATTGGGATGGGAATAATTAGTACAGTTTAGGGTATGATGTTATTGAGTTAATGATAATTGTGAGATGCCAATACATAAACTGTCTGTGGAGAGGATGGGTCCAAGTTTAGATTTGGATGTCTACGCTCAAAAAATGACCTTATTGACTAAGATGCATTTAATCTTTCTAAGTAATGCATTTAACCTTTCTAAGTCTTACTTTTCCTTTTTCACAAAATGGAATTGCTATTATATAACACAATATATGGCAAATTGTAGGTTGTATACCAGCATTATATTCATTTATTCAATCAGTATTATAATAATTTATATCAGCCATTGTGCATTTAGTACACTGGTTTGTAAAAAACACATTCCTTGTAGACAGATGAAATGTAAGTTGATACGATTTGGCTTTGTGTCCCCACCCAAATCTCATCTTGAATTGTAATCTCCAGGTGTTGAGAGAGAGACCTGGGGGGAGGTGATTGGATCACAGGAGCGGTTTCCCCCATG